CATAAGTATTAAAATTCATACAATTTGGAAAATATATATGTATATATGTAAATTATTCATGATAATCTAATATAAACATCGTTTTCCTGTAGGTAATTTCTAGTTAATAAAATAATTACTTATATAAATTCTATACATTCTCTTAATATATCATAGTAAGATACTCTGACTTTGTGGAAGAAGTTTGAATTTTGTCTATTTATGAAATCTGAAAAGAATTCATAGCCCGTTTCGCTGTGCAACGCATTCGTGGGATGCCGCCAGTGCTTGTTATTTATCATTTTTAAACATTTATTTTGTACAACTTGCATCTTTTTTATATGACATCTGGCAGCATTGTGCCAAACTGGAGATGCATATGATAATATAGGCCTTATTACACATTTGAATATTAAATTTTTATTTTTAAAGTTAAGCGAGGATCGTCTGTTTAGAAAAGGCCAAAGAGACCGAAATACTTTAATTGCTTTATCGCATACATTAGATATGTGTTTATTAAATAATAATTTATGATCTAAAGTTACTCCGAGATAATTTACATCTTTTTGTACTTGAATTAATGAGCCATTAAACAGAAGTTGTCGGTGTGGGCTTCGTTTCGGAGATTTATTGAAGGGGAAAATAATTGCTTGTGTCTTATCTTCATTTATTTTTATTTTCCACTGATACAAATATTTGTAACATGCATTTAGACTTCGTTCCATTTTCTTTAGAAGAGCGCTTGTTAATTTGCTACTCGATATTAACGCGGTATCATCCGCGTAATATGCAACATTACAAATGGTGTTTGGTTTGGAAAAATATATACATAGAAAAGTCAAATAATTAAAATTGGCTGGACCTTTATATGTGGACCATATAAGAGCACGTACCCTTATTGAAAAACATATTGAACAAATGTGTATCTACCTCTAAAAACCCGGCATGCCAAAATATAGCTCCGACGAAAAGTTCGAGTTGCTGGTGTAGGGTATAAAGAATGTCCCAATGTGCGGCTCTCTGACCGCAACATGCAAATATTAAATCAGCAAAAGAATATGAACTCGATGAAATGAAAACTGAAAATATCAAGAACTCGGTTTTATTTATACACATGTGTCAACAAAATAAGATTCACCTCTTAGCAAAACCCACTGGTATGTCGTCACTACATTACACATATATTTTCTGGAATTTCCATATCTTTCTCACTTTATTTTAACACGCACAATTACAACTCTTATAAAATAAATATTTTTTTTCAACTGGCCCTTGCCATAATGTTATCTTAACAAAAAGGGGAGCCTACACCTATTGTGAGTGCATTTACTTTTGTTGTAAAATGTTCTTCCTCGTTCGCTTCATATTGTTGTTGTAATTACATATAATATTTAATGTGTTTGTGTGTTCTCTGTTACTATTTACCTTATATGGGTGATGTTGGTTCTGCCGCTGTTTTTCACTGTTTTTTGTTTTGTTTGTATAGTCAATTGTTCTGGGATAAAGGTGGCGGGGGTATTTACACCATCCGAGAACAGGTGTCGCACACACTCAATGTTATGCAAATAATAATTACTTGCATCTGTTTTAATTGTAAATACGCAGTTTTTCTGTGACAAATTTTGTAAGAAAAGAAACAAATAGGAGGTAAAAAGTCCCAACGGATAAAGTAAAAAAAATATTGCGTATTAAACACATATGTAATTTCGAAGTATGAGGAATTCATATTATCACACATTGTATTCGGAGAATCGGATAAACATTTACTTTATGATTCTCTGTAGAGTATTAACGGAATTGGGGCACAGTGAAAAGTGAGGTGTAGACTAGGCACGTGTCATGACTTGCTTTAAGTTGGTCCAGATGTTGATAAATTTGTCCGATTCATATAAATGGAATGTCCGATTCATATAAGATTGAAACGAAATTTTTCAAAGATTCCAAAATAACATTTGTTTATCATATAGATACAGATCACATATTTAATTTTGAGCGCTTTCATGGTCCTTCAAAGGTCCGTCAAAATTACTACGTCTGTTACAATAATAATGTTAATAGCATCTCTTGCATATACTCAATGTGGTGTCGGTTTGGAGCACATCGAAATATGCTACGGAGACACCTTAAGTATATAAATTCTAGATCAGAATAACATTTTATGTCGATTTATGCGAGTCCGTCTATCTGTTGAAATCACGATAGAGATGGCAATATTTGAGACACATCTTTGAAATTTTAGAGCAATTTAATATTGTTGATTATCATTGAGTAAAAAATCCCCATATTAACATTGCCATGTTTCGGAGTAGTAGGGTACTAAAATGTACCAAATATGGTACCCTTTGTGTTAGGCGAACGCGAAGAGCTAGAATTCTTAAATTTGGAATGTGGGTCGCTGATGGAAAGTAAGAAAGCTGTACAAAAGGTTTTGACCTATAAGTGTACTAAAAGTACTAAACTTTAATAAATTTAGTTCTAAGTGTATATATACTGAACATATATAGATAGAATCTTGAAATTTTATATGGAATAAAGGTTGGAAAGTTGTGTTGATGTAAGGAAATGTTGTAAGAAATTCGTACTTATTGTATAAAAAGCACAAAATGGTACTAAATTTGGTACTATTTCAATTTAGTTAAGTGTATAGAGATAGAATCCTGAAAATCGGAATTAGCACTACTATTGGAGTACAGGATTGAGGTTGATTTAAAAAATTACACTTTTGTGTACGAAAAATACTTAATGATACTAAAGTTGGTGCATGTTGGATTTCGGTTCACAGATAGAGCTGGAGTCTTGAAATTGGGAATTGCATTGTATGATTTAGGTAGTTTTGAAAATTCGTACTTATAGGTACGAAAAGTACTAAATGGTACAAAATTTAGTACAATTTGGACTTTGCTTGAACGGATAGAGCTGAAAACGTTCATACATCTTTGGAAATTCGTATTTATGTGTACGAAAAGTACTAAACGGCACTATATTAGGTACAATTTGAATTTGGGTGAACGGAGAGAGCTGGAAACCTAAAATTTGGAATAATGGTTGCTGTTGGAGTATAGAATTAAGATATGGAAGCATAGTACTTATATGTACTAGATGGTACTTTATTTTGTACCTCTTGATTATGAGTGAACGGATGGAGCTGGACTTTAGAATTTTGGAATTAAAATTACTGTTGCAGTGTAGAATTGAAGTAGTTGGGGAAAAAGTGCTAAATGGTACAATACCAAATTTGGTACAATTTGGACTTTGGTGGAATTAAGATTGTTGTTAAACTTTTAGAAATGTTTACTTATGAGCATGAAAAGTTCCAAATGTGAAACAATTTGGAGTTGGTTGAATACTGATATTTCGAATTAAGATTACTGTTGAAGTGTAGTATTGAGCTATGGAGACAAATTTAAAAACTCGGATTTTTATGTAATAAATATAGCGCTCCAAATGCAATAAATTTGAAATATGGTTTACTGACGGAGAGTTAGAAAGAAGTTTTTGGAATTAACTGGTACTGAATTTCGTGGTGGTGATGAGGATCAGTGGCGACATCTGAAACTATAGTCTTCCCTGCCTTACCCCTCGGCGGCCAAACAAATCACTCTCATTACGGAAATAGCTAAAAAAAATAAATGTTTGAGTAAACAATTTTTGTGGTATATCAATTAACCAATTTGTATTAATATTGTCAGGCCGGACACTATGCTAGTCTTCCAATAAAACATAATCAAAATATATTTATCCCCACATTTTCCGAGCGCGATATGAGAAATTAGAGGTCATCCGCTAATTTTTCTTACCATGTCAAGTTTTCCAAATATTACTGATTATGAAAAAGCCCTCTTAATTAGTTGGCCAAATTCCTTTCCCCGTGTGTTGTGTTGTAATTTCTCACTTATAATTGTGGGCTTAGAGCGACCAGAAAAAAGAGACAAGAAAAATGCTAAATATCTTCTGATCATCACCGAACATTTAAGTTTCGGTCAAGGACGGAACCGGAACTAAATATAAAATTTCATAACGATCAACCACTATCCCGGATATACCATCTACATCGCGAGTCTATGTCCTTCAGGAGTAAATATATACGCCATATTATTCAAATGTTGTAATTTTTCACACAAAAGTATGGGTCCATTTGACATCATCACCTAACCATTTACCGAACATTACCTAAAGATTAGCGGTCTTTTTTTGCCACAACCTGTCCTACATGCAAAATTTACAAAATATAATGGACAGACGGCCTAGAACCTAAAGGCGCCGTTACAAACTTCTGGGGCCACACAAAGCAATAACACCCTGACAACATAGTTATGAAGTGTATAAAAAGCGCCGTTTATTTTCTACAACTAGAGTGTCTGTAATTTGGAGCGCTATTTTTATTCCCATATAAATGTCCAGAACGACTTGAGGAATTTTGAAAGCATCTCACGTGATGGTACGATTAAAAAATTGACCCGACCGAACTTAATGACGTTTTTACTTGTTTTCATTTAAGTTTTTTTTTGTACTTGCTCTTTTATCTCACTTAATTTTATTGATTTTCGCATTAATCCACCGGGATCAAATTTGGTAAATGTTGAACTTTGTCATGTTATAAACATTGGGCGCCACTATTTGTGTATTAATTAAAATACGATTTTTAAGCGAATCTAACTGCTTAATATTTATCCGATATTCAACAAGTTACATCCCTAATTAAAATCCTAAAAAACATATCGTATTCTTCTTATGCGAATTGTAAACTGTCTATTGACCACTACTTTATTAGTTCTCAACAAAAAACCAAGGGAAGTGATGATGGCCCGAAACTATAGTCTTCCCTGCCTTACCAATGCCATACTTTCCCCAATGCCATACTTTCCCCAATGCCATACTGTCCCCACTAAAAATAGTTATATTTATAAAACAATTAATTTATCAATATCATATAATAATTGAATGTAATCCTATAATTTTTCTCTATTTAAGTTTGAATATCCCTTTGTAATTATGTTTTAATTTTATGTTTCTTCTTGCAGCAAATTGGCCGCTATATACGAAGAGATGAATCAACATTTTTTACCCCCAAATCGACAGAGGTAAGTAAGAAAAAAACACATATTCTCACTGTTTTCAACATTCCAAAAAATATTTCTTGTTTTAAATTTTCTCTATAACTTCAATTCCTTTCTTTTTCTCTTCCTTAAATGTAACTAAAAACCTTAACCAAACTTTTGCACTCTTCTGAATCCAATGGCTTGCCACACACATGCACACTTTAACATAACCCACACAAACACACACAACAAAAAACAAAAACCACCAACAACAACCAAAAACATTTCTCTCTTTGTGTGTGTGTTTCCATGTCCTTAAAACAAAAGAGTTTTAGACCACCTCGTCAAAGGCAAAGTATCCTTAACCATCCTGCAACACAGCCAGCTAATGTGGCAAATAATCAAAATAGTTTTGCACCAAAAGTTGCCACAACAACCGCAAGTAATGGGACAACATCCAGTCAAAATGCCATTGTCAATAGGAGCAATAAAAAATTCATAACCTCCAATAAAGTACGAAATGGAACCACAGCCGCAGCTGGAATTGGAACAGGGGTTGGAGTTGGAGCTGGAACAGCGACAAATGGCAATGCCACCACAAATAAAGTGAATGGCAACATTCAGGCTAAACATCATCTGCATCAGCAACATCCTCAGGTTGCATCTAAATTGAAACCAGTTAAAGAGAGAAGGCCAACGGCTTTGCCCACCCAACAACCGAAAATTGCAGATGCTGACGATGAGGGGGCAAAGAATAATGATAGCCAGCAGCTGGGCACCAGGATGGCTGGTGTAGGACAACCAGCTAAATTTTTCATAGGAAACGGCAAGGAAGATGATGAGGACTATGACTATGGCAATGAAGTGGATGAGGTTGGCTGTGTTGACGATGATGATGACGATGTAGATAATGCAGATGTTGTGGTGGTAAACGAAAATGCTCCATCATTGAACCATAAACAACAGCCGTCTGCAAATGTTGTTGATGTTGCCGGAAAACAAACATCGTTGGTATCTTTATCGTCAACATCAAATGGCAGATCCTCCTCGGCTTTGGCAAATTCACTTACAAGCTCAGCTTCAACCACAACCACATCGAAGTTACGCACTAAACTTCCCAGCACAACCAGCAATAAACTAAGAAAATTTGTACGTTCCGACACGACCTGCTCGCTGACATCGTCCCATCGTGAAGAAGAAGAGAAAGTGCATATACCACCACCGCCACCCTTGCCACCGCAGCCGCTTTGCCAGCCGGCCGCATCACCCTCACTGTCGTTGATATCGAAAAGCAAACGTAATTCAAATTTCCCTGAATCACAGGCTCGGTCGTCAGCCAGTGGCGGCAATGAGACAACAACAACATTGGATTCAACATTTACAAGTTTAACGGAAACGGATGTGAAAACACAAGATTCTTCATCATCAGCAGCAGCAACAGCCACAGCAAGGACATCTACGCATCAAAACGGATATGCTAAGACAAGAGTGAGTTAACTCTTTATTTTCTGTTTCGTCTTCTTCTTCTGTTTGCTCGACCTAAAAACAAACAATTCAGCACACACACACACATACATAACAACTAAAATACTCACCACATCACATTATACAACCAAAAATCATATTTCTAAGAGACCAACAGCATGTATGTATGTGGGGTATGTGAAGAGGATCACATATTATACACATAGGCACATCTCAGGGCAATTATTTACACAGATTTAGGGATATTATAAGAGTGGTTAGTTGTAGAATTTTTTAGATTATGGGGTTAAAATCGTGACATTTTTAAAGTTAGAGAATAGCTACTTTGTATGGAATTAATTCCTGCAGTTACTGAAAGGTAAGTACAAGTACACAATATACATAGGAAATCTAAACCGATTCCAACAAAAGAAACGTATTGGAAATTTGGTCTTATCCATACAAACTTGCGGAGTTTTCTGCAACATTTACAGACAATCGGACTACACTATAGCCATATCTAATTCTAAACCGATTTCAACAAAGATTAACACATATCATGCTAGACTTGCGCTTTGGTTAACCATTCGGACGAAAATTAAATGGGAGCTATATCTAAATCTGAACCGATATTTCCCAATTTCAATAGGGTTCGTCATTGGGTCAAATAAATGAGCTGTGCCAAATTTCATCTAATTCGAACCAAAAATGCGACCTGTACATTGTTTACAAATTAACATAGACAGACAGACGGACGAACATTCATAAATCGACTAAAAAGTGATTCTATGCTTATTCTCAAAAGGAACCATGTGTCTATCTCGTTTCCTTTTGCCTGTTACAAATATATGCACAAAGACATAATACCCTGTACCACAATGTGGTGAAGGGTATAAAAATGGATTTTCCCCCCAACCTTATATTTAGGGGGTGACATGGACATATATTTCGCGCTGATCGATTTGAAATTTTACACGAAGTTCCGGTTATGGCCAAGGACGACTTCTATGATTTTCGGAGGTGATCGGGGATGAAATGCCTCAAATTTGTGTGTGTGTTTTCAAGTCGCTCTATAGGCCACATTAATAAGCCTAACATCATAACTCATCACATGAGGGAGGGAATATGACCAACTAATTAGAAAGGCTGTTTTGTTCACACTATATTCACTATATGTAAAATGACAAAATTCGCATCTTATGAAGTAATTGTTCACACCGGGAAAATTATTCCGAAAATGTGCAGGGTAAGAGTAGCAGTGCAAGAGGGTGTAAATATAGCGAACTATTGTTTTGCATGTTGCGCGTTGTCGCCAGATAAGCCTATTTTAACATAGTATATTTGAACTCGAAGTAGGATTCGAATATTTTGTCATTTCCGCTCGTCTGTCTATCTTTTGTTATCATACTACCTTTGGAGGGTATAAATATGCAAAAAAGGTCAGCTTCGTAAATGAGCTATTACATTAAATTCAGAAATTATGGAAACAATCCCAAATCAAATCATGGTATATTGTAATGCTAAAGATGTCAGCAAAAATATGAATTTAATGTCAAACGCCCACACACACACACCCGACCAACAATAAACTAAACACACATCCACGCATTACCAACAAGTTTTCCACACAACAGAAGTTAGTCATTCAGAAATTATGGAAAAATCCCCATGATATACATTGTTATTTCAATTTTCATTCTAATTACTAATGCTATTCTAAGGGAAAATATTGCATACGTATAAATTTATATATACAGGAATATAACCGTAGAGGTTATTTTCCTTTACCACCCTCTCTTCCCTTTCTCCAACTAACATATGAATACAACAATGGTATTAAGAAAATATTTACCCTTAACCTTAAACCTTACAATGTTAACCCCGTAGCAGTAGTCTAATGTCGGAAGGGAAGTCTTTTGTCATTTTCCTTTTCCGGTGCCAACAACCAGCGTCGTTATGTGTTAATTAATTTCCTATTGTCATGCAGCAAACTTTACTAAACCACAAGAGAATCATGGCCTAACCTTTGTGTGTAGCAGCTACCACAACACTATAAGAACAACTAAGACTCAGTGCTGTACTAACACATTTGCGTGTATATAACCCCTTTTTTGTTGAAAGATCTATGACAATTACTGCAAATACCAACTAAAACTTTTTGTCTATGGCCTAGCATCAACCTTTCTCTACCTTCACCTCTCTCTTTGTCACCACTCGACTTCTTACTCCCTATGCCTTACCTTGAATACTAATAACAAAAAACCGAAAACAGAGAAAAAATATTTTTTACCATCCTTACTTGGAATTTATGGTACCCATATATTTTCCAGTTAAATGTAGATTTAGCAGATAAGAAAATGACTCTGCACGAAGCATTACAAAGTCAATATGACGATAGTGATGTTGATGACGATGCACATGATGACAATTTGGATACTGGCACTAATTTAACAACCAGTGACATTCGAGATTCTGGTGTACAAATTGAGGTAAATTTATGAGCAAATAAATAAAGCTAAAACTTGTAATTATGAATTTTTTACACATTGAATTTATGATAATTTTAGGAGGGTTATTTTGCCAATTCACATCGTTCATGTATTCCATTTTTCAAAAATAACATTTCTTATACAATGATATTAATATTTAGTATTTCGTGTATCCTAAATAGGAATCCACTCCCTCACCCAAGGAAAGTGACAGCAGTGATGATGGTCCCAAATACCAACGTGTAGATGGTGGTCTAATATTTGCACGTCCTCATTTGCCCACACAAAAGGACATCAAAATTGAGTACATCGAAAAGGATGAAAAGTAAGTGTATAGAAGAATTTCTAAATATTAGCCGGATGGGTCGGACATTCAACTTCGGTAGAGCTAAATCTCTAGCAAAATGTCGTGGCCCCCTAATAAAGTTATACGAAACAATAAGAGCGATTGTAAATCGTCCGACTTACAATGAAGACACAACTTTACGATTGAATCAAGCCAACAGCTGATACCAAATATAATTTAATCATATAATTGAAACAGAAATCGACATTTGAAACATTAACAAACCGAGCCGACTCAATTTCCTCCGATTTCTGGGATAAGATCCCATCAGACAGAGTTTATAACAAAAATTAATTTCTATCAGGGAAGTGAGTAAGGAAACACGGAATTTATTTATTTGTGAGGCAGTTTAACTTTATTGTTATTCGACGAACGGGCACTGGGAATTATGCATCGGCACCGTTGGTACTGGGGTTAAGAGCGGAAACGATTCACGGAAAAATGAAAATAACAATTTCGCCAGGGAAACCAAAGGGAATAGCCTCGTGGATGTCTGGAGTGCTGGTGCGTTTTGTACAACTACAGACATGGGACAACTCACTAGGGCAAACCGCCTGAAATAACCTCTTGGATGGCTGGAGTGCTGGTGCGTCATGTGGAACTAGTGGGCAGTTTAACTTTATTGTTATTCGTCGAACGTATATTGGAAAAGTGTATCGGCACCTTTTGCGCTGGGGCCAGGACGTACTGGAAATGGCTTTTCCCAACTCACTTCTTTGCGATCGTGGCAGGTGGTAATCGAAACTCACCTGTTGTTTCGGTGGAGGTCGGTATTCTCAGTGGCCACGGGAAGCGTAGTCAGAAAGTAGACGTCGGTGTCGATGAGGTTAATTTACACACCTGGTGAGGTTTTAGTGGTGATTCAGCGATGATTTTCCTTCTAAGCCTTGAGATGTTCGTTCTTCTCTACAGACTGTCCTAGCAGAATATCTTGTTAGCCTTTTTATAGCACCGATGTCAACGTCGCCAACAACCTTATGGATCAACATAGTAGGGAATACGATACTTGAAACAAATTCATTGGTTGTGGGAATTCACATTGATATAATACACGAAATATTCAGTAAATTACAGTAAAGTTGGCGAGTTTTTTGGGATACCATTTGTATTTTGTTATTGCAAAATAGTCAGGCTAAATCCCAGTTTGATGTTTTTATAAAAAAACAACTATTTATTAGTAAATTACAACAAAATGTACATTGACTATATCAGTATCCGTGCCCGGAGACAAGCCTGCTGCTTCCGCCATCACAAAGGGAGTATGGAACTAAAAGACACTTTACCCAGACTGAAACGCTGCCACTTTTATTGCAGGTTTTAAAAAATGAGAGCTTTTGGTTTTAATTTTCGATTTGCAGGCTTTTAGTAGACCATCAGTTGTTTTCAATGAGCAGTCATTTTTCATTAATGTGTTCCGTAGAGTTTCTCCATTTGCTTGGTGGAATTGTCCATCGCTTATCTTAAGTACTCTGTTTATAAAATTTGTGGCCATATTTATTTTAGAGTAGAAATTAATTTATTGTCCATATGCGTTGGGTTCTTGGTACCAATCTATTTTCTATTTCGTGTGTAAATTGGTCTGTTCTTTTTACAATGCAGAATATGTCGTCAATGTATTTGGAAAGTTATTTTGGTTTGTGGGAAAATTTCTCCAATGAAGTATCCAATAAATCCTCCATTACTATGTCTGCAATAGTCGATGACGCTGGAGAACCCATCGGAAGTATTTTTCCGTATTGTTATCATACATGAAATATATTGCTTTATTTTTTATAAGGAGTCAATATTTCGATGAAGTGGTCCTTTTATATATTTCTATATTCTTTTATTATGTCTCATTTTTCGGTAATCGTTTTCAAAGCTAAATTAATATGTGTGCTGGGGAATAGTAAAATCTCGTCTTCCATTCATCATTCCTCCTTCTCATTTCCACAATGTCTTTAATTTTATAAGAAATAAGGAATTCTGAAGTTCTTTAAAATGTCGACAATGGATGTTGACAATTCATATGTTGGGGAATTAATGGATGAACATATGGATCAGAGAGGTATGCCTTCTTTGTGTTGTTTTGGCAAGCCGTAAATTCTTGCCGCAATTGCTGTATGAGTTATCATCTTGTTCTTATCTTGCAAATTTATGATATTCATATTGTATAATTTCTCCGTCAATTTGTTGCATTTGTTTTGTAGGTTAGAGGTTGAATCTGGTTTTAGTCTTCTTTATATGCACATATATCGTAAAATATTCTTAATTTTTGCTTCATAGTCATTTTTGTACCTTGCAACAGTCTTTATCCGGGTTTAATATTAGAATTTCTATATTTTGATTCCAAATTTGTTTTGTTTTACCCACTGTGTCAATTGCGTTGTAAGTGGTCGTCAATAAGAGAGACTAGTTTTTTTTTCTCGCGATTCTCGATCATCTTTGCTGTTCAATGTTTGTACGCACAGTTCGCTCTCTGCTATTACATTCAATGAAGAAAATAACGGTATATTATTAAACCTAAAGTCGAAACAAATCCAAGAAGAAAAATATTTTCCTTAAGTTATTTTGAAACTAATATAACTTGGCCTAATCTTAGACTCAAGCAATTAATTCTTACAGTACAAAGAAATTTTTTTCTGCAGTAACCACTGATAACTACTACCTTTGTTCTCATATATTCCTTTGAGAAGATCATCTGCATGGAAAATATTGTTTGTGTTTTGTAATACATATGTTAAAATATGTTTTAATAAAAACCGTAATTTAAGTTATAAATTGAATTAAGATCAATATTTTAGTTTATTTATTAATATATTGAAGTACCTTTGAGGTTGGGATTTAGAATACCAACTTCACCTATGGAGTGTTAACGTGAAATTTTATATACGCCATCGATACTTTGTGGAAATCACGATGCCGCTTAATTCAATTTTTACGGCTTGCTTCAGTTTTGCTCTTCACCACTAGGGGGTTTAAATATGTTCTAGTAATAACTGATGACACTAGAGCTGTATTATAAATATTAAGATTGTTGACGTATCTCCGTATATTGAAGTGAAATATATATTTCTATGTATATTTGTTTCTTCTCACAAGAGAATAGAGGTTTGTTCTAGAAATATATTAAAATTTGATTTTCAGCGGCCGATTATTTTAATATATTATGGTAGAACTAATTCTCCTTATTTATTTAATTTATGATGGATGTTTGACTTTGGCAAATTTTGGGTTCTTCTTCAATTTGTTTGCTAAAATTATTTTAAGGTTTGAGTCGCTTTATATATTTCTATTTATAAATATCGTTCCTCTTTTTAGGCTTAGTATTTTTTTTAATTATGTATAATGTAATCACTTTAATTCTCTCTCATTTTCTTCTCTTCCAGAACACGTAATCTCATACGCAATGCAATTGAGAAAAATGATTTTCTCAACAATTACATGGATAAGGAACGCAAAGAGATGGTCATCGATGCCATGGAAATGTTACATTTCAAAGCCGACGACTACATTATCAATGAAAATGATGAGGGTTCCGAAATATATGTTTCGGAAGATGGTACATTTGATGTCATTAAACAGGGTAATGTTATTGGACAATTTGGTGGTGAGACAGTCTTTGGTGAATTGGCGATATTGTATAATGCCAAACGATTTGCATCGATACGAGCGGTAACAAATGCTAAAGTATGGAAAATTGATCGTGATAAATTCCGTAATATTATGGTAATATCTGGATCAAAAGAAAGGGAGGAAAATTTGAATTTCTTAAGATCCGCACCGTTCCTTAATGATCTATCCGAAGAAGTACTCAATAAAGTTGTGGATTTGTTGCAAAGGGTGAGTGTTTTAAAATTTTGATATTTGAATTTCAATAAAATATTGTTGAAACATTTTTATTTTAGAAATTCTATGCCACAAATACTTGCATCGTGCGAGAAGGTGATATTGGTAATGAATTCTTTATTATTCGCGGTGGCACTGTTACCATTAAGAAATTAAACGAAAATGGCGAAGAACGCGTAGTGGATAATCGCAAGAGAGGTGACTACTTTGGTGAACAAGCCTTGCTTAATGCTGACTGCAGACAGGCTAGTGTGTATGCCGATGCTCCGGGAACAGAGGTTTTGAAGTTGGATAGAGAGTAAGTGTAAAACAAAAATATTAAAAGAACATGAATGGAGTGGAACACATGCAGACATAATACGAAAGTTGAAGTACGACTACTGATTTACAACTGAACTTTCTCAGTAGTAGATAAATTTTATGTTCTAAATCAGGAAAACATAATCAAAAAGTCTTCAAATTTATATTATATATATTTAATCGTATAAGTAACAGTTAATTAATACCATTTATCTTTCTAGAGCATTTATCAGTTATTTGGGTACCATACCTCAACTGCGAGAACTGCCTGTGGAACGTTCTGATCCCGAGGGCCGTGACAGCAATCGTAAATCTGAATTCGATAATGAATATGCAAATATTGAGTTAACAGATCTAAAGAAAATTGCAACACTGGGTGCTGGAGCCTTTGGCAAAGTCGATTTGGTATCGTACGATCAAAAAACCATATTCGCTCTGAAGATAGTTAAGAAAATTGATATTGTTAAACAAGATCAAATCGAACATATATACAGTGAAAAACATGTTATGATGAAATGCCGCAGTTCACCATTTATTATTGAGTGAGTCTGGTGAATAGAAAATAATATATTTATTGTTATAATCAAAAAATTTAATTTCTTTTCAGACTCTATAAAACATTTAGAAATGATAAATTCGTATATTTCCTTATGGAAGCATGTATGGGTGGCGATGTTTGGACTGTGATGTCCCAGCGTCGTTTCTTCGATGAAAAAACGGCTCGTTTTATAGCCGGCTGTGTTGTGGAAGCTTTTGATTTCCTACACTCACATAATATTATCTATAGAGATTTGAAACCGGAGAATTTAATGTTAACCACCGATGGATATTGTAAGCTGGTATGTAATGGAATTATTAAGAAACAAATTAGATCGAGATATTAGTTCCATGACTAATGTATTTAAGTACCTTTGAGGTTGGAGTTCAGAATCCCAACTTTTGACGGTTTGCTATAGTTTTGCTATTCACCACTGTGTGGAGAGTATTACAAGTGTTCTCATTCTCAGATCTCAAACATAAAATTGCCGAAATCAATATACTTCCGTAACAAGTACAAAACTAACAGCGTAAAATTCGGGAGACTCGAAACAAATGACATTTTCAGTGAGCAGGTACATAGCCTGAATGACGTTTCATAGATGAAATCATCACAAGGTAGTACACCATATTAAGGTCATCTTCAGGAAGAAAATGTATATTTTGGCTGTATGCATTGATATTGAGGGAGCCTTTCCAGTCCCGATAAGCCTTTTAAGTTGACCAGACAATAATAGTTCGGTCAACCATAAGGGGAAAGAATTCTAAGAGAGGCCTTAATGTGGATCCGGACAGATAAGACGGAGAAATGTTTTTTTCGTCAGAAAGACAAAAGTAGGACAGTATGAAGAGCTCATCTTAGATTATGCATTTATGGCCTTCTGAATCAAATCCAATTAGATGCATACCTTTAAATGTCGTCGACCGGTTTCTCAATCAACTACCAACGACATTTCAATGATACACACTTTTTATCGTATCAAAGAATTTATTTAAATTCAAAGTAATTTGAAATATTAGTACTTTTACAATTTTTACCTTTTCAGGTCGATTTTGGTTTCGCCAAACATATACCAGCTAATCAGAAAACACACACATTTGCCGGCACCCCCGAATATGTGGCACCAGAAATTATACTCGATAGAGGTCATGATCGTTCTGTGGACTATTGGGCCTTGGGAATATTGATATTTGAGCTGTTGGTGGGCAAGACTCCATTCCGTGGACAAAATCAAATAAAAATCTATCAACAGATATTGGGTGGTATTGATGTTGTACAAATGCCATCGAAAATACCCAAATCAGCACAAAATCTAATTCGTGCATTGTGTAAACAGTTGCCAGCCGAACGGTTGGGTTATCAGCGTAAGGGTATTTTGGATATTAAACGACATAGGTAAGGAGGGAAATAAATAATTTGGATTTCAAAATATTTAACCCTATGTTAATTTTTTCCAGTTGGTTTGATGGCCTGGATTGGCAAAAGTTGCGGAATAAACAATTACCCTCACCAATTAAACGACCCATTAATCATTTAACTGATTTACAACACTTTGGACCTCCGGGCGTGGAAAATGAAGCAGATCCACCACCAGAGACCAGTGGCTGGGATATTGATTTTTAATATAGTTTTGATATAGATATGTATTTTGTTTTCATGTTTTTTAAGTACAATTGTTATTAATGTTTAAACTAAAAATTTAATTAAATAATTTATCATAGCATTTAAGTGGAGTGACAATAATTTTTTTGTAAATTATAAAAAAGATAAGACCAAACAAAAAATATTTTATAATTACATTTATATATAATATTTAATAAAATAAGATAATTATAACATAAGTCAAAAAAACGACACTTCCCCGAGATTTTTATTACCCAAGCGGTAAGTATGTAAAGTCATAAAATCTATGTGCATGGTAATCAATCTTCCATATGCGTGTTGGCCTTGACTGATTCGTGTACGCTTCCACCGAAATCATTTACAACGGAGAATCAGCAACATCCGGTTTCCCCCTATTTTTCTGACATCAGCATAAAACACGCATGATAACAGCAGTCATCGTTATTTTCTAAACTAACACATTACAGGGGTAGCAGCTACATCAACAGCAACAATAATCATCAAATAACAGACACATATTTGTCGACACAACACATGCACACATACTTATGTGTTGGTACATTATTTTCCGCTACGCACATTATATCCTATATTTGTAAAATAGAACAATAGGCTGAATTATATAGATAATTTTGCAACATCTCGAATTTTAATGGAAATTTAATGGACTATCCGACATATAGTTATTTGTTAAAATATATGTGATATCAGATAAACTTATGGTCTACGGTTCACAGTTTATATGAAATCGGTCGAAAATAAAAAATGTTTCATACCCTCCGCCCGGAGGATTCGTTTAAAATATATGAAGTTAATTGAGGGATCCTAAGAGAAAACGCATGATAGGACATTGAATATACCGGAAAAAAGTGAGAAAAAGATGATTCTCAAAATACCTCTAGCGTTTTATGGGGCTATACCAAACGGGGTTCAATATTTATAATTTTGGGTACTGAAATTAGACAGCCAATGAGAATGCAAAATACAGCCAATTCGATTGAACAACGTCTCCAAAATTCCCAAAATACTGACTTGGATTAATATTAATAAATTTTAGTACCGAGATACTCTTTATCTTGGTTCAATATAAATATTTGTAGTACAAGGATATGCTGTAGAATAATGCCCAAACCTAAAGTACAAAATTACAGCAAATTTAATTGAAAAACGTGTCCAAAATCTCAAAATTTTATAATAATGGGGTGTACAAAATCTCAAGATTATCGAATAATGGGATTACCATTACATGGAGGGGATATTGAAAATGTTAACTCTTTTGTGGGGGGATAACAGAAGGAGTGGTCCAATGGGCTCCCTCTTCCGGCTAGATCTAGGCTTGGTAAAGATAATAGGTTGTGTCTGATATTGGTGGTACAAGGAAGAGTGGACTAATGGATTCCATTTTCGGACTTTATTTTGGCTTTGTTAAGATAATAGCTTATACAAAGTTTGGTTCAAATAGGATTGTACGTTCGCATGATATTATAAAATTAATATTTTGCACAATTTTGATAATTTTGTGTGGAAGGACTTGAAATAAGTTTGGAAGAAATAATAAGATGTGCAAATTTTGGATGAAATCGAATATTCCCTTCGAGAGTTATCGTGCGCACCAGCCAGCCAAGCAGACAGACGGCCAACGGACGGACAGACATTTATAGTTATATCTATATATATAAAAGAGTTGTGTTATAAGTGACTGACTGATCATCAACGCCCAGACGAAACGGATAAGATTATTGGAAATTCGTACTAAAAAAATTCGTACAAAAACTAATAACGTTTCTCTGTGAGTGTATAGCTATCATATGAACTAGGATAAAGTCAATCGGTGAATATCTTCCTTATTTTTTAGCTTGGTTTTTGGTCAAAAATCGGCGATTTTCGATAAATATTTTTTCAAATGTCTGCCATTTTGTTAATTTTAGAGCGAAGTCAATAATCCTAGTTCATACGAGAGCCAGACATGTACTCTTTCTAACACCGTTGGAATTTGCGGATTCCGATGTTCCAGTGAGGAGTTATCATGCCCGCCATCAAAAATAAGGACTTATCTTTAATTACAAAAAAACAACAACGAATCAATTACAAAATGTGATTTGCAAAAACATTTTTTGGAAATTAATACTAAAATGGAACTAAAAAGTACTACAACTGTATTACACCGGAACGCTTGTCTGTGATAAGCAAATCAGAATGTGTGAACAAATTTTGGAAACTAGAACTAAAATGGTACTAAATAGTACTAAAAACTGTATTACGCCGGAACAGTTGGAACTACAACTCTGAAATTTTGGTACGCTGCTTTGCAAATGATAAACAAATCAGAATGTCCGAACAATTTTGGAAATTAGTACTAAAGGTACTAAATAGAAAACGAGATTCTCATTTTCACAATAGATGGCGTAAATGTCGCGCTGATCGGCATAAAATTCCGGTTATTGTCAAGGACGATATTTATAGTTTCTGGTAATGATATTTAAAAGATAAAAAAAGAACAAAAAACCCGTACTTTAGTATACTTTAATCATCAATAATTTATCAGCACTACTATGATGACAATACGACCCAATGTACATCCCTCATTTTAAATCGCTCAGTGGTAAATCAAAGTTTGCCAGCAATAGTAGTAGTAACTCATTTAACTACACAAAAATGTGTGTAATGATGGTCGATGATGTTGTTGTTGCCATTCCTGATGTTGCTGTCGGTGATGCTGATGATGATGTTGACGTTGTTAAGGAAACACACTATCGTTAAATTTGCTGACGCATCACATTGTCAATGATTTACATAACTAAATTATGTTGAATATGGTGTGCCAGATGTTGACACTATTTGTGCAGGAGGGGCAATATTTTCGATGCAATAATTCTCCTTCATAAATCACTAAGCAAAGAAGAATTTATTGTTTATATTGAGATATAATCACTACTTAGATTGAATACATTCTGTAATTAATGTCATTGAAAATAATTCAAAATATTAAAGACGAAAATCAGCAAGAAAATTAATCTAAAATTGTATTCGTTTGTGTGCGTGTGTGTTTGTGTATTAAATTTATTTTAAAGTAATTCTGTCATTACGTCAACCACAGTCAGTGTAAATGCCATAATTTACATACGCAAATTTTACTTATCACATTGCATATGAATTTGAAACTTTTCAAAATCTACAATTGTGTTCCCGCTCAATTCTCTTCCCCCCCTTTCTGCATATCGTATATACAAAATAATTATTTTCCACTGTCATTTTGTAATCTAAACTAGACTATAAAGTTTATAATATGAAATTATAATATGTAAAAATACAGCACACACATAAACCCACTTACTTGCTCACTCGCATACATTCATACGGTGTTAGTTAGAAGACATAAACATAAGCAGCAGTTTCATATCCTTATAATTACGAGTGTTCATGTGCAACTTTATGATTTTTAATTATGACCAAAATTCATATCCCCTCCACAAAACACACAGACGCACACACACACATCCACATTCTCACAACTTCAGTTGCACAATGATGATATATGCAAAACATAAATAATAATAATAATGTAGTGCTAGGAATATATCATTGCAGATTCTATACATTTTTGCTTATTGTTTACACATTTGTAAAATATAATTAATATTAGATGTGTGCACAAGGATTTGTTGGCGTTGTTGTTGCTGTTGGAATTTGAATAAATTAAATGTGCAAATGTGTGTTTGTGTGTGGATATGCTTGACAATATGCCATATTAATCGCTTTGTTTGTGGCAGTAAGAATATTAATGGTTGTTTCATTATTATTAAAATAATGAAATTTATTTTCACAGTTAACCACAGAAAGAATTGGGATGCAAGTTGGGAAGGGATGTGGACTTAATGCCCTCCCAGCATATATTTATATCCTACACCACATTGTGGTACAGCGTACTTTGTGAATATCATTTGTAACAAACAAAAGAAAATGAGATAGACCCATAATTACATTTGTGGGCAAACATAGAATCACTTTCTAAGTCGATTTATGCATATTCGTCCGCCAATCTGTCCATGTAGTTTTGAAAACAAGCAACGCATGTTTGTTCGGTTCAGACGAAATTTATCGAAATATGATGAAATCGAATGGGATTTAGATATAGCTCCCATTTATACTTTCGACCAATTTCATGCAATTTGTGCACTAAATACCCACCGTTTGTTCGATTCAGAGTTACCAAATTGAGTATATAAATAAATAAAAAAGGTGCTAATTTTATTCGAGCTAGATATTAAGGGAGGGAGATTTGTTACCATATACGACTATAAAAAACCAAATTACAGAAAATTCAGTTGAAACACCAAAATTCCCAAAAATAATAATATAAATTGGGAAGTGTCCCTATATGAAGGCTACCCGAAACCTATACATATAATGTTTATGGGAGAGATTTTTTACCCAATAAAAACTCTAAGTAACAAATCTAATTCGGAAGAAAAATTCGAGCAAAACCCCAAAATACTGACAATTGGGGGTACCGTTATATGGTGGCTACCAGAACAAGTGGACATTTATTTATAATTTTTAATGGAAAAATTTGGTACCCAATAAGATCCAGTTTTATTAAATTTCAGCGAATTTGGTTGAAAACGCGAATAAGAACCCCAAAATATCGAGAACTGTTGGGTTAATCTTATATGGGATCTATGCCTAAACATGGACATATATAGCCCAACTTCGAACTTGACCTGCCATACAAAATAAAACTCTATGCGATCTATCTCAATTCGTTTAGAGGCTACTGACAGATATACATGTCTAAATCTTCATAGAATTTTACGCTTATCAAGAATATATATGCTTTATAGGGCCGGAAATTATTATTTCGATGAAAAAATAAGCGGAAAACCAACTTAATATACCCTCCATACTTTGGTGGAGGGTATACAAATAGCTGAATATCAATGCGAAATGGTATTTGGAATAATATATAAAGTTCTGCCTGGCCGAACATTGCCGAACACAATATG